GAATGTAATCTTTGGAAGTGTTATCTCTAGAAACCCCATAACATTTTAAAAATGTAGGGTGTTTAAGACCAATATCGTAATATGCCTTTAGCTTAATTCACAAGAAAAAGGATAATTAATAGTTAAAATTTTAAAATTTAATATATAAATAAAATTACCTCCTTTATAAACTCCTTGTGACTATCCCTTGATCCGTGAATTAATTTAAGTGCAACATATCTAATATTCCAGAGAGCAGAAAACACAGTTGCAAATCCCCCTTGTCCTATCTTCTCAACGTTTTTAAATTCCTTGTAAGGAATCCAAAGTAACGGATATTTACTTTCAATAAATATTTCTTTGAATATGTCATCGGCATCAGAGTTCTCAAGTATCGATTTATTCAAAACTAAATGGATTAATTATTATATCATGAATTAATAAGATGAATAATAGAACAGCAATGTCACCATACTTACCTAATAATTGTTTTCTTTCCCTATTGTTTATTATTTTAATTAGTAGTCACAATAATAAAATCAAATAATTTACTTACATTTGATACCAATGCGTAACCATTTGTAGGTTTCGCGCGACTCCAATTCCGTTTCTATAAAATCCAGCAACCATAAACATTGCATCCACATCACCCATTTCGGATAATTTTTGATAATATTCAAACGCCTTATATTCATCCTTTTCAACTCCAATCCCATTTAGATAACTATGGCAAACACTACGTGTTCCCGATGCATTACCCATCTCGGATGATTTTTGATAATATTCAAATGCCTTATATACATCCTTTTCAACTCCGTCTCCATTTTGATAGCAATAGCCAACATTAAATGTTCCCGATGCATCACCCATCTCGGATGATTTTTGATAATATTCAAATGCCTTATATTCATCCTTTTCAACTCCAATTCCTTCATCAGCATTATATTTTCTTTCTAAATTACCCATATTTAATAGTATTTGGGCACTATTCCGTTATGATAAAGTTTAGTAAGTGTAAGTATTATAACAGATTTATATTTCATAACTTCAATGTCTTACGTATTTGTCTTATTTTTATTGTTGTACAATTTTCTTTGATAATCGTACACATGTCCATAATGGGACGTCGATTATAATTCTAACGGAATTTGGGGACTTTAAATTGATTATTATGTTTATTTAATATTTATAAAATTATAAATTAAGATATAATCTATTATTAAATATTGGATTAATGTTATTTATTAATAATATAGAATTTATTAATTTAATTGGATTTAAATACCTACAAAATTGACAATACATCTAAACAATCTCATTAGTTATAAATATATTATAACAGACTTATAACTATCTTTAAAAACTTTGCTTTTATTTGGTAGAATTCATATTGTTTTATATACTGTATATATGTTTTTTTTTTGGATAAAGAGTGCTAATAGCACATGATTTTTTATTGAGTTATTTATATCCAATTACATGATTACAAGGTCCATTTAAGTTAACCCATACTCCCACCTATAGCCTTATCCAGTTATACTGATTTATTCACCCAGGAAGTGGATCAATACACCAGGTAGAATTTTTAGAAGATAGAAATCCTATCACTAGTTTTAAACTATATAACCTAATCTAAATCCTAGCAGTAGTCATTTGGAGTTTGTATCTTTCAGGATTGATTAGAATACCCGAATAACCCATTTAATACTTTTCACCTGGGTCCTTAAAGAAGGCACTGTACTTTTTGTCACCACCTGCAACTTCATATTTCCCTTTTTATTGGTTTTCTTCTTTTAAGCAAGCACCAGATTGGAATAGTCCCAGGCTAGAGTATTCTTTGTGCTATAGAGTTTGCCATGCCAAAAGAATTTATGAGCTTATATTAGAGTTAGACCAGAAGCTTTTTCTCATGTAACCTTTCTTACTTCAACCTATTTTCAGTTTATGATCATCAGAAAAACCAAAGATCTCATTTTTATGCAACCTAAGTTTGGTTTGGATCCAAATGTTTGGATATAACATTTATAAGAAAAGGATAATTTTATATATTTTGCCCTGAGATATTGAACTAGAGATATGTATTTGAAGACCAGAAAGTATTATCCACTATGCTAGTGATCCACTGATCCATTTATATATATATTTTCAATTATAAGTAAATAATAATAATATATTAAAAACAATAAATCACATGAATTTTATAAATATTATTTAATAGATATATAATATACTGTGTGTATTTTTTTTTGCAAGCTGATATAAATTTTTATTTTTAAAAAAAATAGTGTAAGACAAAAATAATTGAAAAAATTTAAAACTTATATTTTTTTTAATAATTTAATAATTAATTAATTAATTAAAATAAAAATAAACATGTTGTATTTGAAAATATAAAGAATAGAAATATATAAAAAAGTTTTTTAAATATATTACTTTTTTTAAAACAAAAATTAAATAAAAAATAAAAGTACAATAAATTTTTTTAATAAAAATTAAAATATCAATTAAATAATAAAATAAATAATAAAGTAATTTTAAATAAAAAATTATTTTATAAATATTAATTTAATTATATTTACTGTAAATTTATTATTTTCTTTTTTATAAAATTATAATTGCTATTTTTTTTTGTAACATATTATATATTAGATTATTTGCAAGAGTTTAAAATATTATAATAGTATAAACTTTTAAAAAACTCTTTTTTGCTTAATACTTGCATCTGAACAAAACTATCAAAAAAGAAAATAAAAATTTTATCACAAAAAAAAATCTCTAAAGATCCAAGAAGAACCTTCTCTTCCAAGATCCAACTCATTAACTATAAGTATATTCTATTGGATATTCTTATTATTGATATCAAAAAACCAGAAACCATTATTATATACAAGAACATCAAAACAAATAAAATTACCATCTCTCCATCAAATTCCTTCTATAAACTCTCAAAACTTGAAAACACCCCTCAATTATGGCTCACACCAGTATGCTTCACTACTAAAGATCCAAAAATATCCAAAGTAATTACTGCCTCCTTTAAAGTTTACTAAAAAACCAGAATTTCAACATCAATAACCATCACCAACATCTTATACCTGAATCCCACATCAGCAAATTCTCTTAATGACTTCCTCAAATTCCAGAATATTTTTGAAATTACTAACAAAGATAAAACTGAAATAATAAAAGAAATTATGAAAAAACAATTAAATTATAAATTACATATTCTATTAAAAAAACTTGATAATCTCTTCTCAAACACTAATAATATCTTTTCTCTGAAATCTAAATTGAAACATTCAGACCTCTTTAAACACTCCTGCCCCAAATAAAACAATGGATGATGACAATAAAATATAAAATGATTGTTCAATTAAAACATCTTATGCAGTTACTCTAACCACAATATAGATTAAACCAGCCCTCATGCAAAGTTAAGTGCCATGTATAACCCCAACCAAATTAGTTTTCTTACATTTGTATCCAATAACAGCACAGAAATAGAAATTGATGAGCAGAATATATTAGTTATTGTTCTATTACTGCCTCCTGGGCAGATAAAGTCAACAATAACAAAATCACCACCAGGTACAATACATTATTAATAATTAAAGAAGACATTAGAAAAATCAGCCTCCTTGAAAAGCATTTTAAAATTCTTGAACTTTGCAAAAAAGTCGACAAATGTGAAAGAAACATTGATGTTATTATTTAATAATTCTTTAAAATCAGAGAGAAAGGCTCCTCCAAAATAAAACCAACTATCAAAGTTATAATGACAAAAATTGGATATAAAGACTATACATGTGATGGAATTGAATTCAACCATTTTTCTAAAACTATATTATGGAGCAGAGCCAAAAGTTTAATACCTTAAAAATACTGTTCCCAAAATTTTTTCTGGTATCATCAAAAATCATGTTACAACATAATACCAAATTTTATAAACATTTTATTTAATGACTTATATTCTCCCTGTAAAAATTTTATCATTGTCTTGCTAGTATGTCAGCACCAGTATATACACAAAGTTCTTTAATAAACAATAAACAGAGCATGATTATTAACCTTCATGAGTACTTTTTAAGTCCTCAGAAGTGGATCGAGCAAAAAAAAAATGTCACACTATGCAAGCAGGTTGTTATGGCACTTGGGATTGGTGAGGCAATGGTTGGTCAGATGTTATGTAACTGGAATCATAAAAATGATGATAAGTTTACACCCCATAAAATCATGGGCCAGCCAACTGTAGAACCAAGTGCTGACATTGCCGAAGTTATATGAAACTTGATTAGGACTGCCAACCTTACTGGTACCCACTTGCGACATCAATATTGTGTCAGAAACTTGGTGAACATGGCTACACATTATCCAAAAAACAGCTGTTGCACGTATTGTACTTGCTGGGTTACTATTATGGCCATGGCGAATGTCGCAATATACTTCATGAAACACCAGCAAATATTGTCTTTTATGGTCGCTATATATGCTGTTATACTTGATTTTCGCTCAATGATCTTCATTACCCTTGTTCAATTTTTAGTAGCATTTACCCTTGTAATATTGCCCTTTCTAGAATAATCTTGTATTACAGATCTGTTACTATACTTTCGGCACATATTGCACATATTGCACCTTTACCATTTCTAGAATTTCTGTACTATTGATCTACTGTAGTACTTTCGCCTACTTTGCCTACTTAGCCATCTCTGCCTATTCTGGAATATTCTTTAATTTTATTTACTATTATCACTTTGCTATCTTCGCCAGAGTATTCAT